CGTGTACTCAAAGTCGTCCGCTAGCGCCAGCTCGTAGGCACCTGCAGGATGGGAGGATGGATGGACGATGGAGGGGGTTGGATTAGTTGGTTAGAGTGAGCGTGTTGAGAGACAAGAGAGCGAATGCGCTGTCTCGCCACGCTTCCTCGTCTGCTGACGGGTTAGTGGGGTAGGGGAAGGGGTTGGGGGGTGCATTAGATTAGAGAGCGCGGCGAAGAACCACGGTGTGCTGTGCTCGGGAAATGGAGGGCGCGGGGCAGCGAGGCATGGGCCAGGACGGCATGGCAGCATGCATGGATGTGGCAAGGGCATGCTGCTGGCGAATGCCTTGTCAAGACATGTTTGGACAGCATCACCGCCTAGTGCCTCAGACTCAACGATTGGCCTTTGGACATGTTTGGCCGAGATGACCTTCAATGAATGAAAGGTAGACAGGATGCGGCGCTTGGTTGGTTCGTGGCGACTCGTGTGTCTTTTTGTTATCCTTGTGCCATTCCGTGCCCTGCCCCCCTCTCTCTCTTGCGCTCACTGTCTCTGTTTTCCTTCACATGCCCCCAACCACCCAACAGCCCAACCAGCCAGCCACTCAGCCACCCACCATCACTCCCTCCCACCTCCTGCAATCCCACGCCATCCGCCCACTCTTCCCCCTTCACCGCATCCCCTCACCGCACTCAACCGCGTCTCACCGTATTTATCTCCGGGCTTGGCGGCGGCGAGGATCTCCCTGAGGTGCGCCACCATGGCGTTCGCGCCCTCCGACGCGCACTCCTCGTAGTCGTACCGCGAAAAGAAATTCCGCCCGTATTGCGCCCAGTGCTCGCGCGCCACGTCACCCACCGACACCAGCTTCCCGCCAACTGGCACGTCCTTGTTGCGATACGCGAGGATGGACAGCCACGCGAGCACGGCCCACAGTCCGTCCTTTTCCCGAATGTGATCGGATCCAGTTCCGAAGCTCTCCTCTCCGCAGATGCTCAGCGTACCCGCGTCCATGAGGTTTCCAAAGAACTTCCACCCGGTGGGAACTTCGAAGAACGGCAGGTTGAGTCCCGTCGCGACGCGGTCGAGCGCGGCGGAGGTGGGCATGGAGCGCGCGAGACCCTTGGGGCCGGCGGCGAAGTACGGAATGGCGGCCTGCGCGTTGGCGGCGATGATCGCGACGGAATCGGACGGCGTGATGAAGAAGTTGTTCCCGAGGATCATATTGCGGTCGCCATCGCCGTCCGATGCGGCGCCGAAATCGGGCGCATCGGGGGCGTACATAATCTTCACGAGCTCCTCCGCGTACGTCAGGTTCGGGTCGGGGTGGCCGCCGCCGAAATCCTCGAGCGGCGTGCCGTTGATGATTGCCGACTCGGGCGCGCCGAGCGCGTCGACGAGGATGGGCTTGGCGTACGCGCCGGTGACGGCGTGCATGGCGTCGAACTTGAGCGAGAAGTCCGGGCGCGTCACGAGCGCGCGGATCATGTCGAAGTCGAACACTTGCTGAGGAAGGGAGGGGGGAGGGGGAGGTGAGGGGGGGGGAGCAGGGGTGGCCGGGGGCAATGGGGGAGAATAGGGGACAGGGATGGAGTGCGGAGGACATTAGGGATGGAGGGGGAAAGCAAGGAGAGATGGGGCGAAGTGTGGCGGAATGATCGACGGAGCCATGCGGCGTTGAAACTGGATCAAGTGGGGTGGAGATGCGCATGGGTGAACGCGGGTGTGGGAGGCGGGGGAACGGGGACGGGTGCTATTCTGTGTTTTATGATTGCTTGGAGCGTACCTTGAAGAGCTCGAGGTAGTCGGCGACGGGGTCGACGACCTCCACCTCGAACGACCCGAACTTGGTCGTGCCGGTCTTGGCCAGGTCCACGTCGGGGATCTCCGCCTGCTTGATCTCCTTGATCTGCGCACGGGAGGCACGGTCGGTGAGAAGGTGGGGGATGGGCAAGGGAGAAGGTTGACGCGTGCAGAGAGAAAACCGGCGGGGACACTGGCAAAGAACTCAAGTGCCACTTATGGCGAGCGTGTCGCGGAAGCGACATGTACGGAGAGAGCGCGGGGAGGGGGAGCAGGTACGTACGGAGAGCGTGTTGCCGTAGATCTTGTCGGTGATGGACTCGGGCGCGGGCTGGCCGCTGCTGTAGTTGAACTTGATGCCCCAGTCGTACTTGGGCCCGCCGGGGTTGTGGCTCGCGCTCATAATGAACCCGCCGTACGCCTGCACGCGCGGAGGATGCGCACGGGGGACGCGCAGGGGGCAGGCGCATCGGCGAGGATTCGAGGATGATATAATTAGTACGCCATCCTCGCATTCATAGCCCAATTTCGCACTGGTAGCTCACTTGAAAGGCATGTGGATTAGGAAATGTGAGCAGCCCTTCCATGCCATGCATGCTGCAGACCCATGCATCCATGCCACGCCATGCAATGTGCTTCCCCTCACCTTCTGCTTGCGGATGACAGCCGACACGGCGGGCGTGGACATGATGCCGTCCCTGCATGCGTGCACACGCGGAGACAACGGGACAAGAGACGGGAGGTGAGGCGGAGCACGGAAGACAGGTATTGCGAGGAAGAAATAATTGGCTCAAGCGAAACACAGCATGGGCGCATGGACAGGGGGGACGGGGTGGGGGCCGGACGGGATGGTGGCAAGCGCAGAAGGAGCAAAAAAAAAAAAAAAACCTTAGGGGCGAGGCATGAAGGACAAGGTTCGCTACTCACTTGCCGACGAGAATCTTCCCGACGCCGTTACCAGCGGCGATCTTGATGATCTCCTGCGCGGCCTCGCGGTTGAAGTAACGGCCATCGCCGCCCAGCACGAGCAGCGAGCCCTTGACATCCTCGGCGGGCAGCGAGTCGAAGAGCGCCTGGATCCAGTTGGCCAGGTAGTGCGGTTCCTGAAACACCTTCACCTTCTTGCGCAGCCCGCTCGTCCCCGTCTTCTGCCCCTCGATCGGCGAAGTCGGCACCGCCTTAACTTCGAATCCCTCCACGGCGGTGCCCGCGCTCGCGCGCACCGTCATGGGCTTGGCGGTCTTGGCGCGCTGCGCGCGCAGGCTGCGGACGGCCACGCGGGGCTCAGCCTTGAGGCCTGAGTGGGACGGCAGCGAGCTGGCCGAGCGCGCGGCGGCGAGGGACGCCTCGCAGAGGAGCGACGCGGAGTGGGCGATGGCAGCCATGGCGTCGTTGGAGGAGCACGAACTAGGGGAGTTCCTCTCGTATGGTTTGGGTACGGCTCGGAGCAACTAATGTTAAAGAAAAACTGGCTTGTGAATTTGAATTTCTGTATCTGCTGTGGGATGCTTTTGCCCCTCCCTCCCCTCCCTGCTGGCAGGATTCCCACGTTCCCCTTTCACAGCTCCAGCTGCCAGCCACAAACGCGAAGCGCGTGTGCTGGATGATTTTGGCTTTGTTGGACAATGGGGTGTTTGGCTCGGTGGTGTGGGCCTGCCACGTCGGATCTAGGGAACGGCCTGAGGAACAGAATGCCACGCTGGAATGGGGCTTGAAGACTTGATCCTGGCCAGCAAGAGATTCCGCATGACTGCTGGAGAAGTGCCGTGGATCATAGATCAAGCCAGCATCTACGCCACGCGGCAGCGAATGTTGTGGTGACCTCCACCTCCCTGGGTCTGACTGGCACAATGTGAAACTCTTGGAGCTGTTGCCACGTCAACTGCTGCTCAAGCCTGGTCCAAGGCTTCATCCTCTTTAAAGATTCACCGCTTGAAAGCAAGTTGCGGGTGTAGCGGACAGCCGAATTCTCTTACGAATACACCTTGTTTTTCTTCTGTGTATGAGTGCATTCATATTTCATCCACGACTCTAGAAGGTGTAACACAATTCTGAAATTCTGACTATGTCAGCGGCAGAAAAGGAAGTTCATGCGACACAACCTTGCAAGTCTAGCTGCAGCCAACGGCTTTCGATTTCTGAGCGACTAGATCGACGGTTATAGCACTCAGCTTCTCGATGCTCATTTTGACGTGGTTGGCTTTTCGTGATTGGCCCACGCGAGCAATGTCGACGCTGAGTGGCTGTCTCGACTTTGGCGCCAAAACAAGTTCCAGCTGTGGTCGTCCCTTGGGTTTGGCTTCGGCACAAGTTTCTAGATGCACCACCAACCCAACCAAGCAACCACCTGCTCAGTCACCGATCCTCGGCTAGCTCCCCCTGCCAGTCACCAGATCCTCTTATGTAGTCCACAACTTGAATTACATTTCGTTACATTGACGGGTTGGGATCTCCTAGCTTAGCGACAATGGCGCAGGCTCTTCGATTTGTGTGCCTCCTGGCTCTCTGCCTAGCTGTCTCAGCTAAGGTTTACTTCGAAGAGAAGTTTGACGGTGGGTGTAACAGTGATTGAGGGGAGCGTTTTCCGCTAGAACTGGCTCTGTGACACAATTTCCGTAGTTCCTTGGCGAGATCTGAGCGCATTCTCTTATCATTGTGCAGACACATGGCAGTCGAGGTGGGTAGTTTCCGACTGGAAGAAGTCGGAGGGAGCTGCGGGAGAATGGAAGCACACGGCTGGCAAGTACTACAAGGATCCTGAGGATAAAGGCAAGTTTCTTTCTTTTGTTGTGTCAATATCCTCTTTTGAGCGTACATAAAAAAAGTAATCGCATCAACGGACTAATTTCTTGTGCAGGTATCCAGACACACCCCGACGCTCGTTTCTTCGCGATTTCCTCCAAGATCGAGGAATTCGACAACAAGGACAAGGACCTCGTTCTTCAGTTCCAAGTGAAGCATGAGCAGGATCTTGACTGTGGTGGTGGCTACATCAAGCTTCTGGAGGGAGAGGTCGACCAGAAGAACTTCGGTGGCGACACGCCTTACAGGTTTGATCCTGACTGTTTTTTGTTTGTTTTTTCTATCTTTCGTTGCTCGAGACATCGCATTCAACATATCGCTCTTTCCGTGTATGCAGCATCATGTTCGGCCCAGACATCTGCGGGTACTCAACCAAGAGGGTCCACGCCATCATCACCCACGAGGGCAAGAACATGTTGATTAAGAAGAACGTTGAGTGCGAGACCGACACGCTTTCCCACGTCTACACTTTCATCCTGAGCCCCAACAACACCTACAAGATCCTGATCGACAACGTCGAGAAGTCTGGCGGTGACATTTTTGCGGAATGGGATTTCCTGAAGCCTCGCCAGATCCCTGACAAGTCCGTCAAGAAGCCCGAGGACTGGGTTGACGACGAGTACATGGATGATCCCGAGGACAAGAAGCCCGATGTACGTGAAGTAGAACTTTGGCCTTCTCATAACAGGGATACGCGGAATTTCGAGGATTTTCTGGAATTTTCATTTGGTTCTCTTCCATGTTTCTCATCTATGATTCCCTGACTCCTGTTTTCCTAAACCCATCGTTTATGCAGGGCTGGGATGACATTGCCGCCGAGATTGTGGATCCTGAGGCGAAGAAGGTGAGCATTTGGTCGCTAAATTATATAAGCATGTGCGCAAATGCGGAGCCAACAGACAGATACTTCAAAGAAAGAACCTGGTTGATTAACTCGCGTGATACTGTATGCCATGTCTTTGCTTTCAGCCCGAGGACTGGAACGATGAGGATGATGGTGAATGGGAGGCCCCTCTTATCCCCAACCCCGAGTACAAGGGCGAATGGAAGCCCAAGGTAAGATTCGCGTGTTGCTCTTACCCGTAAATGCGATTACCCGTAAATGAAGCTGAGGTTTTCGAGTGGCTTTTATTGTGCCTGCTTGATTTCCGAAATGTCGTCGCTTAGCTTTAGCGGCTTACGTATGCTAGTTGCAAATGTCTTGCCCCTCTGGCTTACCCTTCCACAGAGGATCAAGAACCCCGCGTACAAGGGCAAGTGGAAGCCTCCTATGATTGACAACCCTGGTAAGTTTGAATGGAATGTTCAGCTCAACTGGTTTCGTATCTGTATGGAATTTTGAATATAACTTAGAACATCATCATTTGGTATTGCAGACTTCGTGGAGAAGCCAGAGGCCTATCGTCTACCACCTCTGCGCTATGCTGGCTTTGAGATCTGGCAGGTGTGTGTCGTAGGCTGTTACAAGGTTTCGCAGACTTTGACAGACCTCTGTACGAGGCATTCATACTAATGAGTGAATGTACTCCTTTTTCGCAGGTCAAGGCAGGCTCCATCTTTGACAACATCCTTGTCACTGATGACGCTGAGTATGCTCGCAAGTTCGCCGAGGACACTTGGGGCGCCATGAAGGCGGTAAGTGTAGACACTGAACTCGGGCGTTGCCAAGTGAGGTCTGTCTAAGGATGTGCTAACTCTTCATGCGCATTTGGTCGATGCAGGAGGAGAAGAAGATGCATGACGAGGCCGAGAAGTCCAAGGAGGAGGAGGAGAAGGAGGATGACGCTGGGGACGATGATGCTGATGATGAGGTGAGCAATTTCGTACCATACTGCACTCATCTTGGTTCGAATCCTGTCTTCTGTAGCTATTAGGTCGAGCTGTGTTTGTGCCTCATGGATGTTGTATCTTGGCTCCATTGGTTTCAGGATGATGCCGAGGCTGATGCTGAGGCTGCGGAGGCCGCTGAGGACAAGGAGGATGCGGAGGAGGCCAAGGAGGTGAGTCTTCTTATGCTGCACTCATCTTGAACCCCACGCCTGCCATGCATTGCTACTCCATCACTACTGTTACACTTTGACCTTGACACCACGGCTGTAGCACTAATTGTGGAATATTTGTCATTTGTTGCAGGATGCTGGTCACGACGAGCTGTGAGCTGCCTTAAATATCTAATTAGGGTATGCACTTTGAAACGTGCCGTTTGTGCTAGAATCAAACAGCTTCGGAGGCTGATTGATATGCACTTTAATGCCTTGTTTACCTGAATACTGGCAGTTGATTTTTTACAAAATGGCACTCTTCAGATGGGGTATCATGTTTTCTTCCAACATGACACTGGATGGTGCAGAAGGTACCTATGCTTCCAGACGACAATCATGCCAACATCCGTAGCCTGAAATCTGAGAAGCTACTTACTGGTATCCTGAACATCGATCTGCACCAATCGTTGTGCATGTACTGTTTTCACAACATTTGGAACAGAAACTGTGAAAGCATCAGCAGAAATTACTCATTGACAATCTTTGCTAGAATGTGCCATGCCCATGTAGGCTTAACACCTTGAAAACATCTGGAGGAAAGTTGTACAGCTACTGTGGTTCATTAGTCCTGAGGGTAGCTGTCCTGTAGTAGATTCAGAGTACTTGCACACGTAATTATTGAAACTAAAAAACCCTACACCCTGGACGAAAATGTTTCCGGTATTTGTTACATCACAGCACTACAGACCAACAAACCATAAGGTTGCAGTTCCATCGACATGCGATGTGACAAAGGTGGATGTTCTTGCAGCGATGCCAGTTACTCCAGCTGTCACTCCTCCCAACACCCCCCTACCGCTCACACCAGCAGCTGCCCCGTTTCCTCCAGTCGAAGCATGCTCCTCCATGCTGCCCCTACCCCTCTGCCCACCCTGGCTCTGCACCTTCTCTTCCCCACCTTCCCTCATGGCCCACCCTGTTCCTCGCATTAATCCCTGCCCTTCTCCTGTCCCACCACTCCCATCCACCTCAACTGCAACCCCTGCTCCGCCGCCCAGTGCCAGCTCGGCTAGTGGCGGCCGGCGCAGGCGGCGAAGGGGAGTGAGGGAGGCGGCATCCAAGATTTGGACCAATCCCGTGGCGCCAGCTGTCAGCAGGACAAGCGGGAGCGCGAGTGGGGAGGAGGGGAGGGCGAGTGTGGTGTGGGTGGGGGGCGAGATTGCAGTATCCATGAGTGTGTGAGCAGGGGACCTGCAGAGGGAGGAGAGGAGGGCGGGGGGGAGATGAGATTGTAAGAGGGATGGAGTAATAGGAGAGGTGGGAAGGGGAGGAGGAGAGAGTGGCAGTAAGAATATGTGGGTTGCGGGTGCAGAAAGCAATGGACAGCTCACCTGACCTCCCAGAATCCGACACTTGCAGGAACTTGCACCCAGCTGACCTGATATGAGAACTTCCAGAACACCATAAGACCCACCTGAGGTCCCACACTCGCAGGTGGCCCGATGCCGAAGCGGCCATCACTCGGTTGCTGGGCGCTGAGAGAAGCACCGAAGTCACTGCAGGAGGGGAGTGGGGAGATGGCATAATATGGTAACACTATAACAGTGCACAGCAGCGGTGGTTATCATTCCCAAAGCTGCTCAATCAAGCGTGCAACTCTGCACGACTGACTATGGACTGCAATGGGGGATTGGCAGGTGGTGCCTGGGGAAGCAGGTGGCACCTGGAGAGGGTGATACAGGCAGGAGCTACCTAGGAAGGTTAGTACTTGATGCAGACGCGACCTCAGGAGGGTGGTACTCAGGCCAGGTGGTACCTGGAAGAGTGCAATTCAGCGCAGGTGGTACCTGGAAGGGTGCAATTCAGCGCAGGTGGTACCTGGAAGGGTGCAATTCAGCGCAGGTGGTACCTGGAAGGGTGCGATTCAGCGCAGGTGGTACCTGGAAGGGTGCAATTCAGCTCAGGTGGTACCTGGAAGGGTGCAATTCAGCGCAGGTGGTACCTGGAAGGGTGCAATTCAGCGCAGGTGGTACCTGGAAGGGTGCAATTCAGCGCAGGTGGTACCTGGAAGGGTGCAATTCAGCGCAGGTGGTACCTGGAAGGGTGCAATTCAGCGCAGGTGGTACCTGGGGAGGGGTCGGTGAAGAGCAGGTGGTACCTGGGGAGGGGTCGGTGAAGAGCAGGGTGTGCAGTTGCAGCGATGAGCGGCAGTCAGTAAGACGAACCGTGCCGTCCGTGCCGCCCGACAGCAGCAGCCCCATGGTGGAACTGTAGCTCATGGCTGCCGCCCCGCCACGCGCCCGAGCGTGTGGACGGAGGATGTGGGTGGTCATGCCACTGTATATGTCGTACACATGAACAGTGCCGTCGCTGCATGCTGCTAGCAGGTCCGTGTCGTCATAGCTGCATGCATGTGTCCATGAGTGTGTGTGGGCAGAGAGGTGAGAGAGGTGAGGCAAGGAAAGCGACAACTTTAACTGACAACTGCACTGATAACTCAGAACGGACAGGGAAGCGGCCACAGCATGAGAGTGGATGAGATCTGATCTGATCCGCTCACAGCCAGGCCATATCCGATCTGATCTGATTTAATCCGCTCACCTGATCGTGCGAATGCGCTGGTGGTGGCCGCCGAAGCTTCTGAGCAGCTTCCCGGTCTCCTTGTTCCATGCAAAGACCTGCGTGCCCGATGCAGCAAGGAGCTGGGAACGTGGGGAGGGGAGGTGAGCGAGATGAGGGAGGTGCGAGAGGGAGAGGGTCAGTCAGAGAGGAGAGAAGGGGCAAGAAGTGAAGGGAGGAAGACAAGAAGTAGGGGAACATGGAAAGCGGAGGAGAGGCGGAGCAAGCACACACGTGACATGGCCCTGCAGGGAGCACTGCCATTCACACGCCAATAGGCTCATCAACGGCTCACCATCACGTCTGTTAGATCAACGGCTGTGATGGGCTGAGAGGCTGGAGAGGGGAAGCACGCCGTCTGACAGGAGGCAGGCGGGGAGAAGGGCGAGGAGGAGGCAGAACCATGCGCGGAAGGGAGAGCTGGGAGTGCAGGAACCTGCCACAGGCGCACACACTGCAGGGGAGGAGGAGGAGGAGGAGGAGGAGGAGGAGGAGGAGGAGGAGGAGGAGGAGGAGGAGGAGGAGGAGGAGGAGGAGGAGGAGGAGGGCACAAAGGAAGTCGCGCACAGGGACAGAGGGGAGCAGTGAGCACATGGGAATGGGAGGAGCCCGTGGGGAGGCTGGTCATAGGAACAGCAGAAGAAACGACTGCAAACAGGTGGGACATGGTAAAAGACGGTACGGTACGGTGATAGTGCACTTGGCATGTGTGCGTACATGACACACCAGGTATATGCATGGGGGAGTGCACACGCGTGCGTAGGGGGTGGAGGAGGGGGATGGGGAGGCTTACATCATCTGAGCCGCCCGTGGCCACCACGCCATGCCGCATCGCCACACTGCCTACCCTGCCATGGCGCACAGCAGAGCAGAGCAGAGCAGAGCAGAGCAGAGCAGAGCAGAGCAGAGCAGAGCAGAGCAGAGCAGAGCAGAAAAGAGCAGGGGGAAGGAAAGCCAGAGCGTGCATGTCAGTGGCCACCATAACAGAGCAGAGCACAGCAGAGCAGGGCGGGGCGGAGGGGGCAGGGGGGAGCAGGCAGTGGGCAGGGGACATGGCTTTCATGGGGGGGCTTTTCACCTCACTTCTCCCCACCTCCCTTTTGTACCCCTGCCCTGCGATCATCCTCCCTCACCTCCCCTCGCCTCCCCTCCCTCACCTATCCTCACCTCCCCTCTCTCCCCCCCATCTCCCTCCCCCTCCCACCTCCACCCACACCGCCCCCCAACCTCTGCGCACCTCCCCTTGGTGTGGCCGCGCATCACACACACCCTCACTTCCCCCCCCCCATACCGTCTCCTCTGCTCCGCCCCCACCGCCATCCCTACGGCCGCGCGCACGCCCTCACTCCCCATCCCCTCCACCTCAACCCCTCCGCTCCCCCCCTCCGCGCCATCCTGCCCTCTTCCCGCTTCCCTTCCCGCGCCCCCACTCTCCGCCTTTCCTCCCCTCTCCTTTCTTCCCCTCCGCGCTGCGCCCCCCTTTCCGCCCCCGCCCGACCTATTCCTCTCGTCACCCGCGCCTCCTCCCCCAACTTCCGCATTTCCGAGCCCCGCGTTCCCCCCTTCAGCTCCCTCCGTGGCGATATCCGCCCCAGCACGTGCCCTATCGGCCAGCGTCACTTGTCTCTCTACCACTCGCTGCCACAGGTGGCGCGAGGAGCTGATGACGTGGCACCATTCCGCGCATACGAGTCGCGCGCGCAGCAGCAGCAGCGGGTCCAGCAGCGCCAGCACGCCCGCCAGCAGCTCCCCGTGAATTGGAAACGGTTTCGCGGAGGGGGAAGCGCTAGCGGAGGAGAGCTCTGTCCGCGGACAAGTTCGCGGTCGGCGAGACATGATTGCGGCGCAATTGGGACAGCGACTTGTCAGATGGGAAGGGGTTGATGTAAATGTGTACCAGAAACTGAAGACAAATGTCTAAGGTTTATACACCCAGGCTGTTCAGTTATCTAAACTAATGCCTAGATTTTTGCTGCTGACTCGCACCAGTTTTCCTCCTTTCACCACGTGGTCTCCTGTGATTCGCTGCATGACTGGCGTCGCGACGAAGACTGCAAAATGTTTTCGTGTCTCGACATTGCAAATCGAACCATGCGCTGCTCATCCATCCTCCACCACACCTTGCTTGCTTCTCCACTCCACTCTCAATCTCTCGTCCTCATTTACCATCCACCCGCTTTGCCCTGCACACCCAGCAACTGCTTTCGTTCGAGTCGCGATCCGGTTACCCGCCCAAGCACCTTTCTAGAAAGCGGCGAGTCAGTCGAGAGGGAATCAGCGGGGCGCGCAGGCGGGGGGGAAGCGCATGGAGCGACCGGCGGAGGAGGTGGCGGGGGCGATCCACCGGATCGTGCAGAATGCGGACCTGCCGCTGCAGGCCGCCACCATCCGCCGCGTCTTCGCGCCCTCCGCGCTGCTAAATCAGCCGCTGCTCGCGTGCCGCTCCGCCGCTCCAATTGAAAACCTCCTCTGGGTGCGATTAATGGACGCCGCGCGAACCATAAACTACAGAACTGGTTATTACATTCTTCCCCCCATCTCCCCATGCATGGAAGTCTTACTCCCCCATTCCCCTCACTCCCCCATTCCCCTCAATCCCCCATTCCCCCATCCTCTCCATTACCCCCATCCCCCAATCCTCCCCCATATGGTCCGCGCAGCTGCGTAGCGTCACGGCAATCTATTGGTACTTCACCGTCGCTGACGTCATCTACGACGTCACGCGCCCGGATCGCCTGGCGGTGCGCGGCACGCTGTGCGTGCGGCCGTGGCTCGCGCCGCTCACCACGCACCAGCTGCACATGGTGGCCGTGCTGCGCCTCGAGCCGCACGAGGAGCGCGTCGCGTCTGACGACGATAGCGACGTCTCCCCAGCGCTGTCTAGAGCGGGTGGGGCCATTGGCAGCGGCAGCGGCAGTGTCAGTGGCAGGGAGAAGGGCGGCGTCAATGCTAGCGGCGGCGGCGGCGGCGGCAGCGGGAGGCGGGTGGTATGGCGCATCGCGGAGCAGAGCAATTTCTTCGAGGTGGACCCGCTCGTGGCGGAGGTGCCCCTCATCGGCGCGCTCTACGCCTGGTCCGCGCGCCTCGCATTTCTCCCCACTGTGAGCCACGCTCCGCCCCTCCCTACTTGCGCTAATTTGTGCGAAAGTATCAGATTTGTTTTTTGAAACAAGCATGTGCAATGCATCGTGGTACTTGTCTCTCATGCGGGTTGTGCCTCGCACTGCATGCTGGTTCTGATCCTCACTGCCCCGCCCTTGCTGCTGTCATGCAGGTGTTGTCGCACGCCATGACCGCCGGCAATGCCGTCTACCGGATGGGGCTGCCCGGGATCTGGGTGGCATCTGCTGTCCTGTCTGGCGTGCGACAGGCTGTCACGAGCATCCTGCATGTGGTGTTCTGGGTGCCCAAAGGACGATAGCATGGCATGACTGGGAAATAGATTCTGTGTACAGGCCACTGTTGCTTATCATATCCATTCAGTAGTAGACATGCTGTTACTGGCGTCACGCAGGTGCTGTTCTGGGTGCCCAAGAAACATGGTAGTAGTACTCTAGTAGCATGGCATGGCATGGCATGGGTGTGGCATCCATGCCGCTTGATTCTTTGTACAGTTCTCTGTTCCTTGCATGACATCGTAACAATATGCATACAGTGCATGCGATAAACACAAGGCTATTATGAGCCCTCTTGTGCTTGTGACATGGCCTCGGGGTTGTATGTACCAATGAAGCAAGGGAGAATGGGAGCAGACAATGTGGTGGCTATGTCAGGCCAGAGAAAGTTGTCATACAGGGCAAAGAAGCAGCTGCTATACCGTAAGCAATCCTGGAAGTATGCAATAAGCATACCGTACCGTACTTGCCTGTGTCTGACTCTATTTGAGCCTGTGCAAGTCATTGTTCAATGCTGTGTCAGCCACTAACCATAACCTACATCCACTACACTGCACTACCATTCATCCTGCTACACGACTCAAAAATACGGTACCATCTTGGTGACATGTATCATCACACCCTCCAGAAGCGCAAGTCCTAATACCATACGTTTTCGACTGTCCACCCATACGCCTCAGTACCTTCTTCCCCCCCCTCCCCCTCCCCCTCCGCCCCCTCCTCCCCCTCCTCCCCCTCCCCCTCCCCCTCCCCCTGACGGCCTGCCCCCCAGGCGGCGCTTATACCGCTTGAGCACGGAGGCGAGGTTCTCCTTGCCCTTGGGGAACGCCACGTCCCCTGCCGCCGTGCCCGTGCGCCCCTTCCGCGCCCCCACCGCCACCTCCACCTCCCTTATCCTCTCCAGGAACAGAGCTGGCGACGCCGGCTTGGGCTGCCCCGGGGGTGCGCCGAGGGGCCAGGAGGGGTTGGCGAGGGGCAGCTGGGATCCGAGCATGGCGGAGAGCAGGGCGCCGTGGAAGACAGGCTGGGCGGAGAGGGCTGGGAGGTTGGCTCGGTCGCCGTAGCACTGGCAGAGGCGCGGCGTGGTGCGGGGACGGAAGAATGCCGGGTCCAGTATACCCTGGGGGGGAAGAGGAAGGGAGAGGGGTGGAGGGGAGGGGAAAGGGGAGAGAGGAAGGGAGAGAGGTGGATGTTGGAAAGAGGGGGGAAAGGGAGAGAGAGGGAAGGTAGAGAAGGGGGGAATGGGGAGAGCGGGGGAGGGGAGAGTGATGAGGGCAGTGGTAACAGACAGGGATGGGCTGTTGTGATGGCCATGCCTGCGCTCATGCCAACATGCCTGTCTCACTCACCTGCAGGCGGTTCAGCACGTGGGTGTATTTGCCCCACAGCTCACCTGCAGGCGGTTCAGCACGTAGGTGTATTTGCCCCACAGCTCAGGTCGACTCTCCAGCTGAGACAGCTCCAGCACGCGATGCACACACCACACTCCATACGACACCACCAGCAGCGGCCCCCACACACACTGCGCCCCACACCCCCATATCGACGGCGGCAGCTCCATCTCCCCCTCCTTCCCCCCCCCTCCCTGCCCCCCCTGCGCCTGCCCCTCCAAAATCCCCCCCCACTTCCCGCTCCCGCCGCCCCCACCGCCCCCTCCACCCAGCCCCACAGCCACAGCAGCGGCAGCATCCCCTGCAAGTCGTTTCTCCCGGTAGGCTACAGCAGCAACCAAGTCTTCATCACTGCCCGTGTCATACCGGAACAGCCAGTCACTGCCGTCTAGACGTAGCAGCCGGTGCAAGCACACTCTCAGCCGGTCCATCCGGCGCTCTTCCTCGGTTTGCACGTGGGGTTTCGCCAGGGGTGGTGAGGGGGATGGTTTGGGTGGGGAGTGGCTGGGTGCGGTGGAGGGAGGGGCGGCGAGAGGGGTGGAGGAGGAGGGGGAGGAGGAGGCGGGGGAGGAGGAGAGGGAGGAGGAGAGGGGGCCGGAGTGCGTGCCAAAGAGCATGTCACGCGGGTTGCTGGCCCACAGGGAAGAGTGAGCGCTGCTGCTGCTGGTGATGCTGCTGCTGCTGCTCTGCTGGTCGTCCTGTTCGGGCTGCTGGCGGCGGGAGGGAGGGCCGATGGGCTTCACTGCACCCATGCCATGCACGCCCTGCCCCTGCCCCTGCCCCTGCCCCTGCCCCTGCCCCTGCCCCTGCCCCTGCCCCTGCCCCTGCCCCTGCCCCTGCCCCTGCTGTTGCCACTCCATGTGGTGACCACCGGCCCCTCCAAATGCACTGCTGCCACTGCTGCTGTCTCCCATCCACCCGCCTTCTCCTCTCCCCGCCCCCACTGCCCCTCCCCCCCACGGCGCCCCTGCAGGCGCAGGGGGGGAGGGGTGGCGGGGGAAGGGGAAGCCGGGGGGAGCGGAGGGGGAGGTCCCCACCAGCTGGTGCATGGGGGCGTGCGGATGGCCCTGCGGGTGGCCCTGGGGGTAGCCCTGGGGTTGATCATGGGCGTGCGCATGGGAGAGGGGGTTGGTGCCTCGCATGGCGTCTGGAGGAGCAAAGCTTGCATAGCTCTGTGCCAACTGATCCAAGCGCTCGTTCCTGCCCATGCCCATGTCCATTCCCATTCCCATACCCATATTCATATCCATGCCCCTGTGCAATCCTTGATCCATGCCCATCCCCATGTCCATGCCCATGCCATCCATGCTGTTCCCACGCTGCAGCCATGCCTGCTGCTGCTGCTGCTGCTGCCACAGCTGTTGCTGCTGCTGTTGCTGCTGCTGTTGCGAGTGTGGGTGCGGCTGGGAGGAGAAGAAAGAGGAGGATGCGTGCTGCTGCTGCTGTTGCTGGTGCTGCTGTTGCTGCTGCTGTTGCTGGTGCTGCTGTTGCTGCTGCTGTTGCTGATACAGAGGGGTGAAGGGAGCAGCAGCAGCGGCGGCACCCAGCAGCCCAGCAGCAGCAGACATCCCAGATCCGCCCATAGCCGCCGACCCAACCGCTCCAAATGCCCCCCGCCCTCCTCCCAGCCCCATTCCGCCTCCCCCTCCCCCGCCCGCCCTCCCCCCGCCTCCCCCATAGCCCTGCGCGAGCAGATCCGCGTACAGGTTGGGGGTGGAGCGACTGGGGCCCTCCACCTCCCTGTGAGGGCCGCCAGGCGCGGGGGAGGCAGAGAGGGAGGAGAGCGAGGGGAGGAAGGGGGGTGCGGTGAGCAGCGAGTGCTGCTGCTGGGGGGGCAGGTCGGAGAACTTGGGGAGATGCGCCAGTGTGCTGTACTGGCGCGCGGAGGGGGAGGGGTGGGCGGCGGAGGAGGAGGAGAGGAGGGGGGACATTGCGGTGGGGGGGCGGGAGAGGGTGGGGCGGGCGGAGAAGGGGTCACGGGAGAGAAAGGGGTCGTGGAGGGGGGGCGGGGGGGACGAGGCGTCGAAGGAGGAGCGGCGGTGGGCGGTGAGGGCGAGGGGGTCCGGGAGAGTGAGGGAGGCGGTGAGAGAGAGGGAGTCGGGGAGCGGGTCGGGGGAGAAGAGATGATCCTCTGAGGGGAGGGCGGGTGGGAAGGGATGTGCTCCGTTGCCCGCATTGCCTGCTGCACCCCCCACCACCGCTGCTGCTGCTGCTGCTGCTGCCGCACCTGCTGCTGTACCCCCGCCACCACCACCGTAGCCACCGGCACTGCTTGCAGCACCGACAGCAGCGGCAGTGGCAGCAGTGGCAGTGGCAGCAGTGGCAGTGGCAGCAGTGGCAGTAGCAGCAGTGGCAGTGGCAGCAGTGGCAGTGGCAGCAGTGGCAGTGGCAGCAGTGGCAGTGGCAGCAGTGGCAGTAGCAGCAGCCCCAAGCATGCTGGAGCGAGCACCAGCGCCCACTCCAATCCCTCCCACCCCTCCACCCGCACTCCCATCCGCCCCACCTCTTTTCCCCTTCCCCCCATCCCCTCCCCCCTTCCCCCCCGCCTTGCTGCTCCCCCCCGGGGGGCGGGCAGCGGGCAGGGGCACGGGCTGGCCGTGCAGGTCAAACAATCCTCCCCAGAACTCGTCCAGAATGGCTGCAAACTGCCTCCTCGCACCCCTGCCCAGCCCAGACACACGTGACAGGCTGCCGCTCCCACTGCCGCCCATGCTGCCACTGCCGCCCATGCCACCCGCCCCAGACGGCAGAGCGCCCAGCCCATCGCCATCACTGCCCCTCACAGCAGCTGCAGCAGCGGATGCGAGCAGTGAGGAGCGCTGGCGCGGTTGGGAGTGGTGCAGAAGGTCAGAGAGGGATCCAGACCCGCAGGGGCTGCCTATGCTGCTGCGCGCACCAGTGAAGGGCGCAGCCTGGGCGGACGGGGGGGAAGGCGTGCGGGGCATAGGGGCAGGGAGGAGGGGGGTGGAGTCGGGCAGAGGTGGGGATTTGGACAGGGCTGACCGGGCCACGTGGGACTGCTGCTGCTGCTGCTGCTGCTGCTGCTGCTGGGAATGGGTGTGGTGCTGCTGTGGTTTGCCACCTGCCACACCAGCTGCAACCGTTGCTGCTGCTGATGCTTTTACTACTGCAGCTGAAGCTGCTGCTGCTGCTGCTACTGATGCTGCCACGACTGGTGGTGGGGCTGCGGCAGCAGCAAAGGCGGCGGCTGCAGAGGGCGCAACGAAGGCACCCCCCTCACCTGCACTCACCTCCGCCACTCCTCCCACTGCCACCACCCGCTTCTCCTGCTCCTCCACCTCCATCTCCCCTGCGCCCTCCACCCCTGGCCCTGCGTCCGCCCCTGGCCCTCCCTCCGCCCCTGGCCCTCCCTCCGCCACTGCCCCTCCCCCCGCCTCCCCACCACCGCCTCCCTCCACCCGGTGCCTCTTCGCCTCCCCTGCGCCCTTACCCTCAACCCCCTCCTCCCCTGCCTCCCTCTCCGCCCGCCTCTCCCCCTTCCCCACAGCCACAACAGCCTCGTCAGCCTGCTCCCCCTTCCCTGCCCCGCCACCTGCGCCCACCCCCTGCCCCTCAGCCCGCGCTTGCCCTCCGCCCATGGGCGCCTGGCTGTGCGCCACAGCTCCCACGTCCCTTCCCCCCCCACCCACAGCCGCACTTGCTGCTGTCTCCTCACCTGCACGCACCGACCCCTCTCCTGCCGCCTCCTGTGCTACCTGTTGTTGCCCATCCAATTTTGTGTCCCCTCGCCCCTCGTCCCCTCGCCCCTCGTCCGTGCCTTCTCCTCGCCCCTCGTCCGTGCCTTCTCCTCGCCCCTCGTCCGTGCCTTCTCCTCGCTGCTCCACTGCCCCATCCTCTCCACTCTTCCCTCCCTTCCCTCCCTCCGCAACCTCCCCACACTTTTCTTCCCCTTCCCCCTCTACCCTGCCCGGGCCAGCCTCCTCTTCAGCTCCCCCCGTCCCGACCCTGTCCCCAATGACCATGGCCTCCCGTGCCTCTGCCTCCTTCCCAACCCCGTCCTCCACATGCTCTTCGCCCCCTCGTTGCTCACCATCTACTCCCAATTCCCCTTCCTCCTTCCTCTCCGCTTCCCTTCCCCCCAGCCCTTCCATTTCCGCTCCCACCTCCCCTTTCCTCTCGCCTTTCTCCCCCTTCTCCCCCTCCTCTCCCTTCGCCCCTCTCTCCCCATCCTCTACCTTCTCTCCCCTCTCCCTATCCACTCCCGCCCCCCCCTTCCCCGCCAAGCCACCATCACCCATTGACTCTCCAATCGCCCCCGATGCCTCAACACTACTCTTCTTCGCCTCTTCATTAGCCGTCTCATTGCCTTTCTCTCTCGTCTCCTTATCTGCTTCACTGCATTCCCCACTCTCCTCTCTCTCCCCGTCTCCCTCTCCTCTCTCCTCTCCCTCTCCTTTTTCTCGACCCTCCTCTCCCTCCCCTCCCTCCCCTCCCTGCACCACACGTCCTTTCTCCATACCTCCTCCTTCCACTACGCTCATCCGCTCACTCACCTTCTCCGCACCTACAACACCCTCCCACCTCGCCGCCTCCCCACACTCCCTGCCCGTCTGCTCGTTGCCCATCTCCCCTCGCTCGCCCGTCTCCCCACGCCCCGCTGGTTCCCCCCCAATGTCCCCTGCGCCGGCACCACTATCGCCCAGCCCAGTGTCCCCGCCAGTGCCATGGCGCACATGCGCCACGCCATCCGCCAGAGTCACCGCTCTGTCAAACGGAACCACCACCCCCTCCTCCTCCTTGCCTCCGCCCCCCTCCCCATCATTCTTCTCCTCCTCGCCGCTCTCCTCCTGCTCTATCTCCGCGCTCCCCTCTCCTCGTATCACCCCCTCCCTCTCAGCACACGAAGCCTTCTCAGCACACGAAGCCTTCTCAGCACACGAAGCCTTCTCAGCACACGAAGCCTTCTCAGCACACGAAGCCTTCTCAGCAGATGGAACCTTCTCAGCAGGCGAAACCATGTCAGTGGATAAAACTGTTTCAGCAGATGAAACCTTCTCAACAGATGAAACCTTCTCAGCAGACGAAACCTTCTCAAAAGATGAAATCGGTGCGGGTGCAACCGGTACAGGTGCAACCAGTGCAGCTGCAACCGGGGCGGGGGCAACTGGTGATGGTACAACCGGTGCAGGGGCAGGCAGCAGCACAGGGTCGCCCACACGCCCTTCACCCGCCACTCCCGGTGCCAGCACCGCTTGTTGAGGCGCCTCAAAACCTGGTGCCAACACCGCCTCTCCCCCTACCACACCCTTGTCGCCCTCTCCCCTCCTCTCCTCCCCTGCCTTCCCACCTGCAGCAACAGCTGCTGCTGCTGCCGCTCCCGCACCTGTTGCGGGTGCGCCTGCTGCTGCTGTGGCCGTTGCTGCAGCTGCCACAGCATGCAAGGAGACAGCGAGCTCCTCCCCACCAAGCCGCTCTGCTTGTGCCTGCGCCCCCCCCTGCTTCGCCTGCCACTGCTCACCACCTGCCGCTGAAAGCATGCTGCCTCTCCCCGCCCACTGCCTGCCCCTCTCCCCGTCCCTGCCACTTCCCCCCTGCACGCCCACGCCCGCGCCCACACCCGCTCCGCCCACCTCCCCCTCCGCCACACACCCCGACTCCGACGCTGCTCGCTGCACTCGCATGCGCTCCCCACCCGCTCCCGCTCCCGCTCCCGCTCCCGCTCCCACTCCCACTCCCACTCCACCCATACCGCCACCGCCACCGCCACCGCCACTGCTGCTACCATACCCACCCACCCCCTCTGATACCACACCACTCACGCCCTCCCCCACCTCCCCCCTGTCCCCCCCATGCTGCCGCTGCTGCCCCCCCACGCGCCTTCTCAGTGCACTGTTCCACGACCCCCCCTCCGTGCCCTCCCCCTTCTCCCCCCCTCTCTCCGCGCCAGGCAGCAACACAGGCAGCGGCCCAGACACAGGGGACGCGGAGGGGCGAGGTAGTTCCCATGTCCCCCCTCCGCCCGCCCTCCCCTCCCGCTCTCCCCCCCACCGCGCCTCCCCCCCCCGCCTGTCCTGCGCTGCCGCCAGTGGCAGGGGGCGGGGGCGGCGGAGAGAGGCGGGGGCGGAGGCGGAGGAGGGGGAGGGCGCGGAGAGGGAGGCCGAGGCGGAGTGGGAGAGCAGCAGGCGGCGCTGCTGCTCATCCTCCGACCGCAGCGGCAGCAGCATGAGCCAAAGCAGCCCGCCCACCATGCCCCCCACCAGCGCCGTCCCCCCAAACACTGCCAGTAGCTGCCGAACGTTGCGCCACACAGCGGACGGCGACAGCCCCACGGCCAGCCCCTCCCCGTCGTCCTCCTCTCCTCCCCCCCCGGACAGAAACTCCCCCGCCACCACCCACTCCCACAGCCCCATTCCCCCGATATCATCCCCATCCGCGCCCCCCGCGACTGCCTCTGCTGTGGCGAAGCGTAAGAGTGCGTCCCCGAGGAACCAGACAGAGAGGGCGCACGCGGAGAGGCACGCCGCCCAGCTGACGAGCTCCAGCGCGGGGCCAACGCGGTGGCGCCCCATGAGCGCGGGGGACGCCGCCAGGCGCACCAGGGGGACGGCTGCTAGGGGGAGCAGGAGGGCTAGGAGGAGCTGCGAGTGCGAGAGGAGGGAGAGCGTGGCGGCGTCCCCGAGGGTGAGGGAGAGGAGGAGCAGGAGCGGGAGGGTGAGGGCGCGGGTGAGGAGGAAGCGGTGCCAGGGGCGCAGGTGCACGTGGGCGAAGGTGGAGGCGGAGAGCTGGCCGGCATAGGCGTTGGTGGGGGTGGAGAGGTGGAAGGAGGAGAGGAGAGCGAGGGAGGCGAAGGTGGGCGCCACGTTGCTGTTCACCACCTGCTCCACCAGCCGATACACACCCCACAATCGCACCACCCGCCCCTCCCCACCCCCCTCCACCCCTTCAAACCCTTCCCCATCTTCCTGTCCGTCTGCCCCTCCCCCGTCCACCCCCGCACCCTGCCCCACGGCGGAGGCCCCTAGGAGCAGCGCGAGCGTGGCGGCAGCAGCGAGCAGCTGGGAGTGAATGAAGTCGCGGCGGTACTGCTGCTGTTGGGGGGACGGCGCGTGGGGGGGGTCCGAGGGGGAGAGGGAGGCGGAGGAGGGGGAAGCTGGGGCGAGGGGGTGGGTGGTAGAGGGGTGGAAGGCGGAGGCGGAGGCGTCAGGAGGGGAGGATGGCGTGTCTGGTGGCGGTTCCATGAGATCGCGCGCGCTTGGGTCGTCCTGGGAGGTGGATGGCAGAGAGGGAGACGGGAGGAGCGCGGGGTGAAGGCAGGGCACATGCTTAACATGCACGGGCGTTTCGCCTTGGGAGGGCGACGACTGCTGTAGGGGCATGGGCATTGTTAGATGGCAGAGAGGAGGCGCCTAGATGGCAGAGAGGAGGCGCCTAGATGGCAGAGAGGAGGCGCCTAGATGGCAGAGAGGAGGCGCCTAGATGGCAGAGAGGAGGCGCCTAGATGGCGACAAGTGCGCATGAGGGAACACAACACAGCGCACCTGCAGCACGAGCGCGGAGAGCAGCAGGAAGCGGTGGGGCAGGGCGAGCGCGCCGATAGCAGCGAGCACGAGGTGCAGCGAGGCGGGCGGCACTGCTGGCAGCAGCGCGGCTGAGAGCGACGAGAGCAGGAAGGCGGGCCCTGCGAGGAGGGCTTGCAGGGCCGCGCACAGCAGCGCGAGGAGTGCGCACGCCACACATGCTGACACCGCCTGGTGCGCCTGGGGGGGAAGTGGGAGGGGGCAGGGAGAGAGGAGGGGAGTGGAAGGGAGAACGAGAGGGAGTGCTAGGGTGTGAGGAAGTGGAGAAGCGGGAGTGAGACTAAAAGGAGAGGAGCAGCACGGAGCGACAGTGACGCGCACAGGCACACACACATTGGAATGCACAAGCAGAAACAGGCAGGCAGGGAGGCAGGCAGAATAGCTCTCATAGCGCCCATCCCATCCCGTCCCCGTCCTCCCACCTGCGGCAACGGCAGTTGGAGCAGCAACACGCCCGAGCCCGCGGCGAGCAGCAGCGCCGCCTTGAAGGGCACCCCTAGCAGCTGCTGTAGCGCCACCGCGCTGCCTAGTACCTGGGGGATGGGGAAGGGGGGGGGGCGGGGGGAGACGGGAAGGATGGGGGACGGGAGGGATGAGCGAGCAGCAGCAGCGCTGCCTTGAACGGCACCCCCAGCAGCTGCTGTAGCGCCACCGCGCTGCCTAGTCCTTGGGGGATGGGGAAGGTGTGTGGAACAGTGGGGAGAATGGGGGGATAACGGGGGGAAGGGGTGGGAAGGAGGGGGCGCGTGTGGTGTGTGCAGCGAGTGTGTGTTGTGGTGGAAGGTGGGGTGGTGTGTGTGCGAAGCGAAAAGGACGCGAGGGGGTGAGTGGGAGAGGGCGATGGGAGCAGGGAGTGGCGAACGTACGGTGACGAGGTCGAACCAGAGCACGGACGCCTCGCAGATGACCCACACCAGCCGGCAGAACGCGCGCGGATACTCGCGCACGATCACCTGCGCGCCGCGCACGTGGTCACGCGCGGGGGGAAGCGGGGGGGGGGTGGGGGGAAATGGGAGGGGATGGGGGGGAAGGAGCAGCGAAGGGGAGGATTGGCAGCGGGCAATGCGGCGAAAGACGCGATCTGATTGGCGAAAATCTTCGCAGGCGAGAGGAGAGCGTGCCGGGTGGACGAGGAAGCGCGGAGCGACGAAACCCGTGGATCAGGGCAGGAAAGCCTAAATCAGTTCTTATAAGGCAGCGCGGCGGCGCGAGGCTCACGAGCGGCAGCGACTGGCGCGTGGCGAAGGCGACGCGCATGGCGAGGAGGTTGAGCAGCAGCGCGAGGCCGTGCGCGAAGGCGAAGGCCCACGCGAGCTGCGCGCCGAACTGCGACCCCGCCTCCGCCATCGTCGCCACGCTCCCCGCGTTGAACGACCCCGCAGCCAGCGCGAGCGTCGTCCCCAACACCGCCTGGATCCGCCACAGCGCCATGGCGGAAAAAAAGGGAGCTGCTGGAAGGTTGTCGCGAACGAATCTAATGTGCCGTCGTTAGGGGGTTTGCCATCGAGAGGGGATGCGGCGGTGTGAGTGGATGTGCCCGCGACGGGCACATTCCCGGCCACTGCCGCATGGCGGGTGCGCGGCGACAGGGAAAATGGGAATGACGAGCACTACTAGATAATCGTAACTAAGCCAAATGGTCTAGTTATGGAGAGGTGGACGGCTGAAAGTGATAATAACGAAGAGGGATGAGAGGAGGGGGTGTGAGGGATGTATCATGTGGAAGGCTGACACACGGAACTCCTGATAGAATTTTGGGCGACGGTCAGCGATTTTCGCTAGAAACGTGACGTTACCAAACCAATTCCCGAGGGAAGAAATGCTTCCTCGAACCAACGCCTTGTTCTATTCCGAGAAAGCATAAAGTGGTGGAGCGAAATGGAGGTTTCCGAGACGAAGTCACTTTTATCGCGTACACCTCATTCACCCAAACTGACTGCTGCTCACCCTCTCCCTCCCCCCACCACAGTACCATCGCATCGCACATCTCTCCCTAATCTTTCGAATCTCGATTTATCAGCCATCGCCTGCGTGTGCCGCTTCGTCAGACAAATCCCCTCTCCCTTTACTTCCCTCGTCTGGATCCCCTGACTCACGCTCGATTCTCTCGCGATCTCCACGACCCGCGCGCCAATCTCGTTGCCTACTCTCGCAATCCAATAAATTCGACGTCGTCGCGTTAAAAGCGAGTGAGTGAGCGCGCGTTCAGCATGGGGAAGGCGGTGGCGATTGAGAAGGTGGTGGTGCATCCGCTGGTGCTGCTGAGCATCGTGGATCATTACAACCGCGTCGCCAAGGACACGCACAAGCGCGTGCTCGGCGTGCTGCTCGGCGAAACGGCGCGCGGCCGCATCGACGTTACTAACAGCTACGCAGGTTAGGGTTGAGTGGGTCGCGGCGGGAGAGGGTTGTTAGGCGCCTGACAGAGCTGTCAGGCGTGGGTGTGGGGGATCAGCGTGAATCAATGATCCCGATCTGATCAGCGCGAATCTCTGAGTTTGCGCCAGCTTTCGTGACTGCGTGCTCTCAGTCGCTGTAATTCGCGCGCTGCCGTTGCGTCCCACAAAACCATGCCCTACTCCTTACCTGTTCTGTCCTGCTGTGGTACTGTATGGTGCTGCGTGGTGCTGCGTGGTGCTGCCTGGTGGCGTCCGTCCGAGCATGGTGCTGTGTGGTGCGTGTGTGGGTGTGCGTGGTGCGTGGCTGGGTGGTGTGGTGGCAGTGCCATTCGAGGAGGACGACAAGGATGCGAGCATCTGGTTTTTGGATCACAACTACCACGAGGCCATGTTCGCCATGTTCAAGAAGATCAACGGTGCGCCGCCCTGCCGCCCTGCTGCCCCGCTCCACGCTCGTTCCCCGCGCATCACTTGCCCGACGCCCACTGGCACCTGGCTTGCACGAGGCTTATTCGTTCTCGCCCGTCACAAGCTGCTGCTTGTTTCACGCCCGCAGTTCGTGAATGCGCCTCACACTCACCCATCATATGCCCTCGTGCATCCCATCTGCATGTGTGCCCCCCCGCCCCACCCCACTCCCTGCGGTGCGGTGCGGTGCGGTGCGGTGCGGTGCGAGCAGCCAAGGAGCGAGTGGTGGGGTGGTACTCGACGGGTCCCAAGATCCGCGAGAGCGACCTCGACATCCAGGAGCTCTTCTATAAGTCAGTCGCCCATCCATCCATCCATCCACCCATGCACCCATCCATCCACTCATCCACCCATGCACACATGCACCCATCCCTCCACTCATCCACCCATGCACACATGCACCCATCCATCCACTCATCCACCCATGCAGACGTGCGCCTATCAACCGTCCACGCATACCCATGTACCCGTCTGCCTATTGCACCCCTCACCCTACCCCAGCAACTGCAGCGTCCCAGTGCTGGTGATCACACACGTGCAGTGCACCCATCCATCCGCCCCTCCACCTATCAGACACATCACCCGCGCCCCCATGCGCTCTACCAACCCCCCCCCACCCATGTGCCCATCCACCCATGTGCCCATCCACCCATGTGCCCATGTGCGCCCACTTCCATCCCACAGCTACTGCAGTGGCCCCGTGCTGGTGACCATACACGTGCAGCCTCGTGAGCTTCTTATCCATCCGCTCCGCCTCCTCACCCATCCAACCCACCACCCGTGCGCCCATCCGCCCTTGCCCGCATGTGCGTGCCCTCCGTCCTCCATCCTGCAGCTACTGCAGCGACCCAGTGCTGGTGATCATCGACGTGCAGCCTCACAAGCTGGTCATCCACCCCCCCACTCACCCATCCACCCCCCTACTCATCCGCCCATCCAACACCCTACTCGTGCGTTTATGCCCCCATGTGTGCCGCCCCCTTCAACAGCTACTGCAGCGACCCCGTGCTGGTGATCATCGACGTGCAGCCGCGTGAGCTGGCCATCCCCTCACAGGCCTACTGCACCGTCGAGGACGTCAAGGAGGTGCGCGGCGGTGGGTAGCGGAGTGTGGCGTAGCTCAGGCGAGGTGGGGAGTGATGAGGCGTGGCGAGGGGGTGATGAGGGGTGATGAGGCGTTGCACACAAAGCAGTGCATGGACTCTTTGTGAGCCCATTGTTGTGCTCCTGCGAGCGCTGCACTGCCCTGCATGTTGACTTTTGAGTCCACTCAAAAGTCAACTCTTGCGAGCGCTGCACTGCCCTGCACGGTTGCAAGCAGGTCGCTGTGTTGTATGGCTCATTCGTTGCCGCATGGTTGATGTCACCTGGCCTGGCATGGCATGGTGGAATGGCATGGCATCGGTTGGCTTGGCATGGCATGACGTGGCCTGGCCTGGCATGGTGTGGTGGAATGGCATGGCACCGGTTGGCTTGGCATGGCATGACGTGGCCTGGCCTGGCATGGCCTGGCATGGCATGGCATGGCATGGCATGGCATGGCATGGCATGGCATGGCATGGCATGGAGCAGGACGGCACGCAGAAGAGTCAGAAGGCGTTTGTGCACATCTCATCGGAGATCGGCGCATACGAGGCGGAGGAGATTGGTGAGTGGATAGATTATATGGTGCAGATGGTTGCGGAGGGTGGGAAGGCAGCGGGGTGGTATTACAGTGATGTACGCGCAACTCCTTTTCACCTCCGTCGTTTCCTCCTTGTGTGTCACCTCCCCGTCCCCCCCCCCATTACCCTGCCCTCCCTCGTGTCTCATGCCCCTGGCCCCATGGCCACGTGCCCCCTCACCCGCCCTCAGGCGTGGAGCATCTGCTGCGCGATGTGAAGGACGCCACCATCACCACCCTCGCCTCTGAGGTGCGCGTGTCAATGCCCGCCCTGCCACGCGCACTCCAGCAATCACTGTAGCGATGCACTCGTGTGCCGCATGGCAATGCACTGCTCCTTCATTTTTTGAAACATATTCCTTATGCGCACTGTGCTAGTTTGCATGCTTGCCGTGCTCCCTTATATCCCCCCTGCTCTCTTGTGCCCCCTCCTCCTCCTCCTCCCCATCCATCCCCCCCTTCCCCTTCCCAGGTGAGTAATTCAAGTCGATTTAAGAATGCTTCCCATGCCCCCTTGTGCTCCCCAACCCGCCCACCACCCTGTCTCCCATCCCACCACCCTGTCTCCCATCCCACCACCCTGTCTCCCATCCCACCACCCTGTCTCCCATCCCACCACCCTGTCTCCCATCCCACCACCCTGTCTCCCATCCCACCACCCAGGTGAGCGCCAAGCTGGTGGCGCTCAAGGGGCTGGAGTCACGGCTGAGGCAGCTGCGGTCGTACCTGGATCTGGTGGCAGCAGGGCGGCTGCCCCTGCGGGCGGACATCCTGTACGGCGTGCAGGACGCCTTCAACCTGCTGCCCAACCTCAACGTCGACGACCTCGTCAAGGCCTTCGCTGGTAGGCTGTCTCCGCTCCCTTCACTGCTCTGCACTGCACTGCATGCAACACTGCCCAAGAGTCAGTGCGCGTCATGAAAATATGTGCCTCATTTAGTTTACGCATCCCGTTTGTTTCCTGCCCTGCTCCTCCCTGCCTGTTGGCGTGGCATGGCACCCATGGCATGGCATGGCATGGCAGTGCGCACGAACGACATGACGCTGGCGGTGTACGTGGCATCACTGGTGCGGTCTATCATCGCGCTGCACAACCTCATCAACAACAAGGTCTCTGCCCTAGCGCCCCTTTCCCTCCTGCATGCACTCGCGCTGCCATCACATGCGCCCATGCTCCCATCCATCCCATCCCATGTGTGCCGCACCTCCTCCACCCATCACCCTTGCGTGCTACCACACCTACATCAGCAATCTGTAGTTGCTTCCACGCCCACACCTCTCATCTCCCTTCACTCCTCCTCCCGCACTGTGCCCCTCTGTGCTCCTCTGTACCCCCTTCACTGGCATGGCAGGTGGTGAACAAGGAGGCGGAGAAAGCAGTGGACTCAACTGCTGCACCAGCACCACCCGTCTCCTCTGCTGCTTCCTAGGCTGCATGCTTCCCTATTACTCATACGTTTTTGGTAATGTTTTGAGATGGGACCGGCAAATTTCTCATGTACGGTATAACTACCGTACGGTATCATATCCAAATGTCTTATAAATAAGTGCTAAGGTTTCTATTACGGTAGTATGAATCGAATGTACAAACTGGTACCACACGTGACTTGTGCAAGACATAGCATCCACCAGTCCTGGCTGCATGCGGCTCCGGTGGTACCTTGCACCGTCCCGGGTGCGCCCAGCAGGCAGAGGCAAGCAGCAGGCAGCAGCAGCGAGCAGCAGGCAGCAGCAGCGAGCAGCAGGCAGCAGCAGCGAGCACCAACCCTGCATCAAAATTGTGGACCTCCTTGAGGGACGCAGAGGGGGCAGGAGAGTGGTGGCAGGGGAAGGCTCCGGGCGGAGGATGGGTGGGAAAGGAACGGGTGGGGGGCCTCCAGCCGCCTGCGTTCTTGTCACTCCAGCAGCCCGCAGTCCTGGATGACGATGGCTTTAAGAGGGCGGTTCCACGTGCCGCGGCCCTTGGCGGCGCGGTCGTCACCCAGCAGAGCAGCGAAGTCGTTGAACTGGCGGATGCGGTCGCTGGGCTGGAAGGTGGGCACTGCTGCCACCGCCGCCACCACCTCCATGCCTGCTCAGTGCTCCCCCACAGGGCGCATGCAAAGGGCCATGAGGTGAGGGGGAGAAGAAGAGCATGGGGGTGAGGGGGGAGGAGAGCAAGGAGGGGGGAGGAGGAGAGATGATCAGGTTGAATTCAGAGGAAGGAAGCAGGGCAGGAGTGGAAGCAGGTGGGATGGGGAGAAGGGAGCGGAAGGCATTTGAGTCGACTCAAAAGTCACCTGGGGAGAAGGGAGTGGAAGGCACGGGGTGGTGCGGCATGAATGCGCTCAGCCCCTGCTATGCCCTCACACCCAGCCGCCGCTCTCTCCCACCCCCGCCATCCCCACCCACCCCTCCCAGCATGCGCTTCCTATCCCGGCAGTCCCCTCACCTTGAACCCAGAACCCCGCGCCCCATGCATGCAGCGCGCTCACCTTCCAGCACGGTGCCGAAGACGATGTTGTCGCCGTCCAGCTGCGTGGCCGGGCCAGGGCCTGGTGGGGGGAGGGGAGGAAAGGGGGACGGGGGAAGAAAGAGAAAATCTGAGGAGGCAGTGGGGCTGTAACATGTCTTAAACACGGAGTCCGTGTGGAGCGGAGTTGCGGGGCATAGGCCTGATGGGAAAAAGCCGGTGACAGATGAGGGGGGAGGGCTTTGAGACGAGGCGTGAGGGGGAAGGCGTGTGCCTCACAACAGGTAGGCCGCGGAGCAGAGTGGAGAGGATAGGGCGTGCAGGGGAAAGGGGTGGCCTATGACGGAAGGAGGCAGCAGTTGAGGGGGGGAAAGGGCGGCGGATGAAAGGGACGAAGAGAGCGGTGAGCAAGGGACGGATGATTGGCGAGCATGCGGTCACGTGCACCACCAAGCCAAGGCTACACACAACGACCTGCTGGCCACTCGGCCATCACCCGTGCCTGTGGGGATGGGGATGGGGACGGAGGTGTGGGTGCCCGCATGGGCCAAGGGGAACAGCATGTGAATGGGGTGGTGCGGATGGGGCATGGCAATGCGCATGGGCAGGAGTGGGTGAGCATTAGGCATGCTCTCCCCCTCTCCCCCCACTTCACCCCCATTCCCCTCTCCCTGTTTCCCCTTTGTCCCGCCCCCTCCCCCCTTCCCCCTCAGTCCCACCCGTGGTGATGAGGAACTCCACGTTGCGGTAGTTGCTGCGGGCGCGCGCGCGCTCGTCGTCGTTGTTCTCCCCCACGCACAGCGACAGCGTGCCGGGCCGCAGGTGGCTCAGCGCGAACGACGCCGCCGCCACCGTGTCGCGGTTCGGCGGAAGCAGCGTCGGCGGAGCCACGTCCCCGCGCGCCACCTGCCCCTGGTGGCCCGCCTGCACGTACTGCCCGGGCAGCGAGCGGTGGATCACGCTCCCCTTGTACGTTGACCCCGCGTCGCCCGCCACCATGCGCACGAACTGCGCCACCGTGTCGGGCGCCGCGCGCCCGTACAGCCCCAGCACGACGCGCCCGAGAGGCTCGCCGTCGGCGCAGATGAGCGCGTCGTCGCCCAGCGTGCGGTCGAGGCGCACGGCCGTGGGGCACACGGCGAAGTCGAGGAACGCGCGGTGCGTCACGGTCGTGTCGGGGGCCGCCGGCGACGCGGCGAGCGACGGTGACGGGGAGAGGAGCGCCGCGGCGGAGAGGGAGGGGGGGAGCAGCGCGAGGGAGAGGAGGGCGTCACGGCGGGATAGACACGTGTCGCGCTGCTGTCGTCCCTCGAGATCGTCGTGCGACGATGATTGCGCGCGCGGTGCGGCAGCACGGTCAGCGCGCGGCGGTCGGCAGACGGCACGGGGATTCGAGAGGAGGCTGGCGGGCGGGGACGGGATGAACGCGGGTCTGGGGAACGGCTTGGCGTGGGCGCTGCGGCGCGGAGGCGCGTGATGGCCGAGGGGGCGGCGTGGGAGAAGGCATTCGCTGCAGGCGGAGATGGAGGCGGCGGTCATGGCGGCTGGCGGATAATGGCGGCGGACTGTTGCGATGCGATGTGCGCGGTGATCGCTGTGGAATGTGGAATGGGATAGAGCGTGTCCCCTTCTTGGATTGTGGTGCAGCTGTTGCGGTGAGAGATGGGTGAATGTCAATAAAACACGTATATCACAGTTTCGAGTTCCCATTGTAAGGCTGCTGCTACACTTACAAGTCTGTTCTGTAATGGGTGATAAGTTGAATGAAATGAATTAGCTCAATTCAAAATCTCTTTCACTGAAGCCTCGCCAGGTCACCCGTCAACAAACGTGCCCATTGGCTGCCGAGCTTCAGTCTTGGCGCGCATAACCCAATCCCCGACGTTCAAGTCAGTCTCACACGCTTGTGCCGAGCCTGAGGCGATCGCCGAAGCTGACGCTGATGCTGCGAGGGCAGCTGCTGACGGGGCACCCCCCTCACGATTCCTCCATCCAGCACAGTGTGTCGCGGAGGGGCGGCATGCTGCTCCCCCGTTCGAGGCCAACTGTGGCGTGCGAGCGCATGGCATGGCGCGCGCGACTTGGAAGTTGGAAATGTGCGCCCATCAACTGAGAGGCGTAGTCATTGCTGCTGTTGGCGTTGCGAACGAGGCATTTCTGTTCTCTGCTCCCATTTCAGCTTCTCCATCCAACGACGGCAGCGAAACTACTTCCAAACTTGCCCTGCGTAGCCTGCTGCGCTTCCCAATCTCCTTCCACGCTTGCCTCTGCGTCTTCTGGCTACTGCCAGTCATGGACGGCCATTTCCGCTGGCGCGCCTCCGCGTCGCCGCCGCACTTGAGTCGCGACGACGGGGACAGCGACGATCCGGATGACACTGCCGCGCCGTGTCGCAAAGGGCCCTTGCCGGCCCCTCCTTTACCCCGCGCTCCCTCCTCCACCGTGACACCCGCCGCTGCGTCCGGCCCCGTGAGGCGCGCGGCGGTGCAGCGCGAGCTGGAGCGGATGGCGCGGCTGCGCGCGGTGCTGGACGCGCGAGAGGCGGAGGTGCTGGCAGTTCTCGACTCCGCCTTCACGTGGCTCCGCTGCTCCGCGCAGCCCTGCGTGCCAGATGCCGCGCAAGCCGCAGACGAGTGCGCGGGAAGCTGGTACGACGGGCAGCGGCAGGCGGGACTCGCCACGGTGGTCCTCGCGGACGACGATGACGATGGCTCCGCTGTTGGCGCCAGTGATGACTATGCCGCTCCGCCTGCTGCTGCGCTTTTCGCACGTCGCTCGTTTACGTCGCCCATCGGCGACGGACGGAGGAACGGCGCGCGGCCAGCCAATGGTGGCGGCCAACTGCACTCTGCCGTTCGGCCCGTCGCCCAGTATTCGCTGGCTGGCGGGGACGAGAACTCTTTTCCCGCCCAGGCGTCGCAGGCGGCAGCTGTCATTGCGGGCTGCGCGCCGAGCGCAGGAACTCACACCGTGGGCGGCGGCGTCGTGGTGCGAGCGGAGGAACGGGGGGAGGGGGGAGAGGTGGTGGTGAAGAGGAAGCGAGGGCGGCCCAAGGGCAGCGGCAAGAAAGGGTCGCTCGCCGCGCTCACTCCGTCGCACGCTCCGCCCTTGATTCGCATTCCGGCCTCTGCCCGTCTTCCGTCCCCCGCCTCAACGCCGCGCGCGCCCGCAACCCCCTCTGCGTCGGCTGCAGATGCCGAGAAAGCCGGCGTCGGGAGCGGCGAAATGGAGGCGGCGGCATGGGGAGAGCGGCGCGAGGTTGGGCGCGACAAGGTCAAGGACGGTCCCGCTGTGGTTCAGTTCAAGGACAGCGAGGCGGCGGCTGAGTTGCGGGGAGCGGGCCGTGCGGGGGATGGCAGCAGCGGGCAGCGCGGCGAGGGCGAGACGGGGGCCTGGCGGATGAGCGCGTGTGGCGCTCGCCGCGCCATCGAACCCGCGGGCGGTGGTGGTCCTGGCCGCCCGGCGGGGCTGCATGGCGGCCCACAGCGGACAGGGGGCGACGAGGGGCGGGGCAGCAAGGGACCGTCGGGCGGCGGTGCCGGAATGGGGGCGAGCGGCAGGGGGCGGAAGAGCAAGGGGCCGACAGGGAGGCCGCGAGGCAGGCCGAGGGTTGTTGGCGTGGAGAAGAAGGGGTGCGCAGATGGGCCCAGGCAGTGGCAGGAGCGGGCGCAGGAAGGACAGGCGGGTAAGCGGGTGGGGGGCGAAGGGGAGAAGGCAGAAAGCAGCATGGCTGAAGGCGACTCAGTATGGCCCGTGGGCGACGGTGGGGGCCGTGCGGAGGAGGGGGCAGGGGGGAGGGCGGAAGGGGGACCCGTGTACCTGAGCGACCCGGAGCAGCGGCGCGGGCGCATGCTGGCGGGCGACCTGGCGGGTGTGGCGGGTGGCGTCACAGGCGCCTCCAGCGCCCCCCCCACGCCCAGCGCCGCCCTTGGTGCCTTTGTAGCGACGGGCACGGGCACGGGCACGGGCGTGGACGACGCTGCAGAGGCGCTGGAGGCGGTATGGGGAGATGCAAGTGGTTCACATGGGGCTGCTGCGATGGGCAGTTCTGATGGGCTGGTGCTGGATGACATGCAGGCGTGCACGCCGTGGCTGCATGGCTTGGACGTGCTGGCTGACGCGCATTGCATGCTGCGTGGTGCTGTGGCGGTGGCAGGAAAGAGGGTGGAAGAGAGGGGGCAGGATGGTGGGGGGCGTGTGGCGAAGAAGATGAGGGGGTCGCACGTTGGGGAGGGTAGTGGTGATGGGGGCAAGGAGGGTGTTATGGGGCGGGGTGTGTGGGGCAGCTGCAGTGAAGTGGCATCCCGTGCAGACTGGAGGCCTTCAAGTGCTCTGGCTTTGGTGGGGGTGGGTGCGGGAGCGCTCTCAGGATCACACCCACCTGCCTGAAGATCAGAGCCAGAAATGAGAGGCTCCCATCTCTATGCCTTAGCAGTCTTGGTTAAAGCTAGTTGTGAAATATAGCTGCTCGAAATTGTGCACTGCAATTTAAGCTTGATTTCACCGTGCTGGTCTTTTAAAGCCCGCATGCAAAATAGTGACCCCACCCGCCCCCCCCCCACCCCCCCCCCCCCCCCCCCCCCCCCCCCCCCCCCCCTTTTAGTTGGGTCCACTTGATATATGATTCAGAGGTTTTGTTTGTAGGGTGTAACAGGGCTGACGTTTCAAAAAACGCCTCCCTGTTTTTGACCAGCAATTTTTTTTCTACTCTGACGGTACTTCGGCCGCAAAATGGCCACTCTGAGCGTGTTAGGGCATGTTCCTACTGTTGGGAACAAAAAGTCTTAAGCGCCCCTGTCGTGTAGAAACTCAAGACACAAGCGAAGCAGCTCAAATCGAAGCACTGCGAGTCAACCCTCGAAGGTTAAGGTAACCGCTGGAGGTTACGCGAAGGTCAAAGGTCAGCGACCTTTGACTTGACAAATGCAGCGCGACGGCAAGGACATACAACTGACTCGACATTGAGCAGTTGCCCGAGTCGCACTGTATCGAACCGCAACAGTAAAACAGTTACAATTATATCTCTTCATATTCTCTGTACTCATATATATATTCCTGTATCTCTCTGCTTTAATTAACTTACTTTGCCCTCACATACCAGCGCAAGGTGGTTCAAGGACTTTATTCAAACGCTTTCGCTATTACATCATTTTACTCAGACTTTAACTCTACAAAGATCCTAGGGCGTATTGTCAGAACATTATATAGCTTATACATTTGTGTAGGCTATAGTGGGGTATCCCATAAGGGGTACAACCCAATTAGGGTTAGTACTTGTACTCACTCATTTCATAGTTCATCCATTCTCTCGTTCACTTCTTCTCATGGTATCAGAGCAGGTTCCCCTGTGGGAACTGTGCTTAGGGCCCACCACTTAGAAACTTTTTTTCCTGCCCTAGCGCCTTAGCGCCCTAACGCATACCCTAGCGCCCGCCCTAGCGCCCTAGCGCCCGCCCCAGCGCCCGCCCTAGCGCCCTAGCGCCCGGCGCCCGCCCTAGCGCCCGTTAGCCGCCCTCGGCCTACCCGTGCGCTGCCGCCCGTGCGCCGCCGCCCGTGAGCGCCGCCCGTGACGCCGCCCGTGAGCGCAGCCCGTGAGCGCCGCCCGTAAGCCGCCGCCCGTCAGCCGCCGCCCGTGCGCCGCTCGCCAGCCACCGCCCGTGCGCAGCCGCCTGTGCGCCGCCGCCCGTGACGTCGCCGCCCGTGAGCCGCCCACCTGCACGCCGCCCGCCCGTGAGCCGGCGCTGCCCGTGAGCCGCCCGCCCGTGCGTCACGACCCGCCCGTGAGCCGCCGACGCCGCCGACGCCGCCCGTGAGCCGCCGACGCCGCCCGTGCGCAGCCGACGCCGCCCGTGAGCCGCCGACGCCGCCGACGCCGCTCGTGAGCCGCCGCCGACGCCGTCGACGCCGCCCGTGAGCCGCCGACGCCGCCGACGCCGCCGACGCCGCCCATGAGCCGCCGACGCCGCCCGTGAGCCGCCGACGCCGCCGACGCCGCCCGTGAGCCGTCGACGCCGCCGACGCCGCCCGTGCAGCCGCCCCAGCCGCCCGTGAGCCGCCCGCGAGCCACCCCAGCAGCCAGTGAGCCGCCCGCGAGCCGCCCCAGCCGCCCGTGCAGTCGCCCGCGAGACGCCCGCGCCGCCCGAGCCGCCCGAGCCGCCCGAGCCGCCCGAGCAGCCTGAGGTGCCGGGCTCCTGCTCCTGTGGGGCTGCTGCTGCTCCTGGGCCGCCGTAGCTGCTGTGCTGCAGTGTTGCTGTACTCCTGAGCTACCCGACTCTTCCTGCCCGGTGAGACTGTCAGCTGCTATAATGGCCACCCCCAATGTCCTGACTTTTGATGCTGAGGGTCGCGCCATTGACTTTGCAGTCTGGGTCGAGGACCTGCAGCTGTTCTTACTGTGCGATGCGATAGATGAGGTTTCTCTTTTTGACTTTGCCTCTCGCGCTGTCCCTGCCCCTCCTGCTGATGCTGACCCCGCTGTTCGCTCCAAGTGGGCCACACGCGATGCTGCTGCACGTCTTGCTGTGCGTCGCCACCTCCCTTCCTCCGAGCGTGCACACTTTAGTCAGTGCAAGACCGCTCAGGTCTTGTACGACGCTGTAGTTGCGCGCTACTCCTCCCCTTCCTCCGCTACGCTTAGCCGTCTCATGCTACCGTTCCTCTTCCCTGACCTAGCTGCCTTTCCCACAGTCGCTGACCTCTTTACCCACCTCCGCGCTAGTGACACTCGCTACCGAGCTGCGCTTCCTGCTGAGTTCCGCGCCGCAAACCCTCCTCCCATGCACATCACTCTCTACTTTCTAGTTACCCGTCTCCCTGAGTCCCTTCGTGCTGTGAGGGACCAGTTTCTCTCTGTCTGTCCCACCACCCTCACTGTCGACCTCCTTGAGAAGTCCCTGCTAGCGGCTGAGAAGAGTATCGTCACTGTAGGGGCCTCTCGTGGTGACCCTCGCACCCCCATGTTTGAGGGGTGTTCTCCTTCCCCCCTGCTACCCTCTGTCGCCTCTGCTGCTGCGGCCGACCTCGTTGGTTTGGAGTCGGTCGGTGCGGCGTCTGCCCCCAGCGGTAGGCGCCGCTCTGGCAGGGGCAAGGGGGGCAAGGGAGCGGGTGGAGCTAGCGGGGGCGGTGGCGGAGGCGGTGGGGGCGGCGGGGGGAGTGGGGGTGGCAGTGGAGGTGGTGGCGGGAGTGGAGGTACTAGTGGCGGCAGTGGAGGCGGAGGTGGTGGCGGAGGTGGCGGTGGGAGCGGCGGGGGCGAAGGTGGAGGTGGCGGTGGTGTCGGCGGAGGCGGGGGCGGTGGTGGTGGAGGTGGTCGGAGTGGCTCGTCCCAGCGGAGCAGCGCTGGGGGTGGTCAGCGCCAGCAGCAGCAGCAGCAGCAGCGCTCTCGTGACGTCCCCGCCCCTCAGCAGCTCCGTGAGTGGTACTCGCAGCGTCAGCGTGGTGGGGCGTTTGGTCCCTGCACCTACGTTCTTCGCACCGGCGACCGCGCGGGTGAGCAGTGTGGGGGCACCCACACCGCCCGCCGCTGCTTTGGCCGCCTGACTGACGCTTGGCGCCAGCAGTTTCCGGAGGCCTCTGAGATCCCCCGCTGGGGAGAGCTGTCTAGGGCTGGTGTAGCTATTTTTGATCTTGACTTTGATGCTATCCTTGCTGCTTTGTATGCGGTGACTGTTAGTGATGAGGGTGACTGTTACCGGTGTTTCCCGCCCGACCCGGGCATTGGTCCTGCTGCTCTAGGTGCCAGTGAGGCTGCTGCTCTAGGTGCCACTGAGGCTGCTGCTCTAGGTGCCAGTGCGTCTGTACTCTCAGGTACTGGTGAGGCTGCGCTCTCAGGTACTGTGTCGGCTCCGGCCTCTCACACCTTCACCCTAGACTCTGGGGCCTCTCGCTCCTTCTTTCGGGACCCCACCACTCTCACGCCGCTTAGTCGGCCGGTTGCGGTGTCCCTGGCTGACCCCTCTGGGGGTCCTGTCCTGTCTCACTTCTCCACAGTCCTCCCGTGTCCGGCGGCCCCCTCTGGCACCCTGTCTGGTCTCTACCTCCCCTCGTTCTCTACGAACCTGGTGAGTGGTTCTGACCTACAGGATGCGGGTGTCCACCAGTTCACTCCTGCTCGTCAGCGGGTGACACACTGCACAGAGGCTAGCACAGGTCGCCACCTGGCTACGTTTACACGTCAGCCAGGGTCGAGCCTGTACACACTGACCACTGCTTCTCCTCCAGGTGCCGAGCCTGGTAGGGTCCCTTCGTCTGGTCAGGTGTTTGCTGCAGCGTCCAGGTCTGGTCCTGAGTCTGCCCCCTGTTCGTGTCGTCGTCTGTCTCACGAGACCCTCCTCTGGCACCACCGCCTTGGCCACCCCTCTTTGCTTCGGCTCAGAGGCATGGCCTCCCGTCTTCTTGTGTCTGGTCTCCCCCGGTCCCTCCCCCCCCTTCCTCAAGGCCCTGGCCCTACCTGTGTTCCCTGTGTCGAGGGGCGCCAGCGTGCTGCCCCTCACTCCTCCCAGTTTCCTCCGACAGAGGCCCCGTTGCAGACGCTTCACATGGACGTGTGGGGCCCAGCCCGCGTCCGTGAACAGGGTCAGGAGCGCTACTTCCTGCTCGTTGTTGACGACTACTCGCGTTACACCACAGTCTTCCCCTTGCGCAGCAAGGGTGATGTCACTGCGGTGCTGATCGACTGGATCCGAGCAGCTCGTCTCCAGCTTAGGCAGAGCTTTGGCTCGGACCTTCCTGTTTTGCGTCTGCACTTGGACAGAGGCGGAGAGTTCTCCTCTGGCCTTCTGCGTGCCTAGTGTCGTGCGCGAGGCATCCGCCAGACCTTCACGCTTCCGGACTCACCACAGCAAAATGGGATTGCAGAGCGCCGCATTGGCATGGTCATGGACGTCGCTCGTACGTCTATGATGCATGCGGCAGCTCCCCATTTTCTGTGGTCGTTTGCGGTCAGGTACGCGGCGCACCAGATCAACCTCCACCCCAGGGTCTCCAGGCCGGAGACCTCCCCAGCCCAGCTGTGGATGGGGAAGGTTGGCGATGCGTCGGCGTTCCGGGTCTGGGGATCCCGGGCGTTTGTTCGCGACTTGTCTGCGGACAAGCTGTCCCCTCGCGCTGCTCCCTGCGTCTTCCTGGGGTTTCCCCCCGACGCCCCTGGGTGGTAGTTCTACCACCCCACCTCTCGCCGTGTTCTGTCCTCCCAGGACGTCACGTTCGACGAGTCGGTACCCTACTACCGCCTCTTCCCCTACCGCACTCCCTCCCTCCCCCCACCCCCGCTCTTTCTTGTCCCAGGTCCCCCCCCGGTAGACCCCCTCCCCCCTCAGGGTCCTGCCCCGTCAGGTGTGTCCCAGGTAGACGCAGTCGAGCCTGTCGAGGTCACTGGTGACTCTGGTGCTGCTGGTGGTGCTGAGTCTGGGGATGCTGAGCCTGGGGGTGCGGAGCCTGGGGGTGGTGAGCCTGGGGGTGCGGAGCCTGGGGGTGCTGAGCCTAGGGGTGCTGAGACTGGGGGTGCGGAGCCTGGGGGTGCGGAGCCTGGGGGTGCTGAGCCTGGAGGCTCTCTCGGTCCTTCGTCTCGCCGGGAGCCACTCTCTCCACCGGAGCTGCGCGAGTGGTTTGCCCGGCGCTGGAGCTGTGCTACTGGTGCTGGAGGTTCGTCGGCCACTGAGGGTGCTCCTGTCGCGGGTCCCGGAGGTGCTCGTCCGGGGAGTACTGGAGCTACTGGACCTGGAGTTCCTGAGGGTGTTGGCGCTACGACTACCACTGGCGGTCCGCCTGGCGGTGCTTCTGGTGCTGCTGGAGGTTCTGGGGCTGCTGGAGGTGCTGCTGGGGGTTCTTGTGCTATTGGAGGTGCTGCTGGCGCGGGTACTCCTGCTTGGGGTACTGGTCCTGCTGTTTCCGGCGTCGCAGCGCGGCCCCGACCGTACTTCGTTCCACTCCTGCTGCAGGTTCTTGGTCTTACGCCTTCTCCTGGTCCTCCTCCTCCTCCTCCCTTAGCGGGTCCACAGCCTGTCTAGTCCCGGTCACAGCTACAGCCTGCCTCCCCTTTGCCTTCTCCTTCTCCCTACGCTGATCCTACTGGAGGTCTTACTGAGCGTCGTGAGCCTGCGTCTCGTCCTGCGTCGCCTGTTCGTCCTGCGCGCGCTAGTGGTCGCGGTTCGCGTCAGCGTCCTCCTCCTGTCCCTGGCACGCACCGGATGTCCTTGCGTCCGACCACTGCTCCTCTGCGTGCCCCTTTGCCTTCTCCTCCTGCGTCCTCTCTTCCTGCTCTCGCCGACCCTGCGTCGGACTCTCTTCGTGCTGCCAGTCCTTCTGTCACGCGTCTCCTTGCTACTGTTGTCACTGACCCTTCTTTCGAGTCTACTGCTGCGTCTGCTCTCGTTACTGACCTCGTCGACTTTGCTGCTCGCTGTCGCTTAGACTACGCTGCTAGTCTTGTCCCTAGTCTGAGTCCGCCTGTCCTCCGTCTGTCGGGGGTGAGTGTGCCCTTGGCACGGACGTCCTTGAGGACAGGCAGGAGGAGTTCCAGTGCCTGGCCGCTTCTTCACCTCATCTCGTGTCCGTACTACTTACCCCTGAGGGAGACCCGGATGCACTTGACATCCCGACTCCGCGCTCTTACGCGGAGGCGATAGAGGGTCCCTACTCCTCTCAGTGGCAGGCAGCTATGGATGCTGAGATGGCTTCCTGGAAGTCCACAGGCACCTACGTTGACGCTGTTCCCCCTCCTGGGGCGAACATCGTCAGTGGCATGTGGATCTTCAGGGTGAAGCGGCCGCCGGGTTCTCCGCCTGTCTTCAAGGCATGTTACGTGGCTCGTGGTTTCAGTCAGCGACAGGGAGTTGACTTCTTTCAGACCTTCTCCCCGACCCCGAAGATGACCACTCTTCGGGTACTACTGCACGTCGCTGCTCACCGTGACTACGAGCTGCACTCTCTTGACTTCAGCACTGCTTTCTTGCAGGGCAGCCTGCACGAGGAGATATGGCTGCGCCGCCCTCCTGGCTTCACTGGGTCTTTCCCTCCTGGTACCCAGTGGAGTCTCCGGCGTCCAGTCTACGGTCTCCGCCAGGCGCCACGTGAGTGGCACGACACACTGAGGACTACGTTGGCGAAACTCGGGTTTGCTCCTTCTACAGCCGACCCGTCGCTGTTTCTGCGCACCGACACTTCTCTGCCGCCGTTCTACATCCTCGTGTACGTCGACGACTTGGTCTTTGCCACTACGGAAACTGCTGGACTCGCCTACGTGAAGTCCGAGCTGTAGAAGAGACACACGTGCACTGATCTGGGTGAGCTGCGCAGCTACCTGGGCTTGCAGATCACCGGGACAGAGCACGCCGCACCATCACCCTGACTCAGTCACACATGGTGCAGCAGGTCCTTCAGCGCTTCGGCTTCACGTACTCCTCGCCTCAGGCCACTCCTCTGCCTACTCGCCACTCGCTCTCAGCTCTGCCTTTGGATGAGTCCGTAGAGTCGAGTGGCCCGTATCCAGAGCTTGTCGACTGCCTCATGTACCTGATGACCTGCACACGACCTGACCTTGCATACCCTCTTAGCATTCTTGCGCGCTATGTTGCTCCTGGGAGACACCGACCAGAGCATATGGCTGCAGCGAAGAGGGTGTTGCGCTACTTGTGCAGTACGTTGGGCATGGGGCTAGTGCTTGGAGAGCGCAGTCCAATGGTCCTCACTGGGCACGCGGACGCTTCTTGGGCTGACGACCAGGCTACGCAGCGGTCGTCACAGGGTTACACCTTCAGTCTTGGTTCCGGCTCTGTTTCGTGGCGGGCTACCCGCTCGTCTTCGGTTCTCAGCTCGAGTTGTGAGGCTGAGAACTACGCCGGGGCTATGGCTGCCCAGGAGCTTCGCTGGCTCACCTACCTGCTTACCGACCTTGGAGAGCCGCCTCGTTCTCCTCCAGTCCTGTACGTAGACAACAAGGCCATGCTGGCCTTGTGTCGAGAGCAGCGACTGGAGCACAGGACAAAGCACATTGCTCTCCGCTACTTTCTTGCACGTGAGCTGCAGCAGCGTGGACAGTTGCGGCTTGCGTACGTGGCCTCTGAGGCCAACATCGCTGATGTCTTCACCAAGGCACTTGCGCCTTGTGATCATCAACGCTTCTGCACCCAGCTGGGTCTTGTGCCTGTCTTGTCTCACTTGCTCTCTTCTTGACCTTGTTTGTACTCTCACATATATCTATACTTGCTCTTGCTTGTCTAGCTTTATATATATGTGTGTACTCTTGCTTGTGAACTGGCCTTGTGGCCTTGACTCTGTGCTTGGACTGTGTGGTGACTTTGTGATCCACCCTGAGCTTGATTTGCTTTGCTTTGCTTGACTGGTCTCGTGACCCCTTGTTCTCCCCCACTTTGCCTATGGGGGTGTGTCAGAACATTATATAGCCTTTACATTTGTGTAGGCTATAGTGGGGTATCCCATAGGGGGTACAACCCAGTTAGGGTTAGTACTTGTACTCACTCATTTCATAGTTTATCCGTTCTCTCGTTCACTTCTTCTCACGTATCAGCCCAACATGGTATGAGAGCAAGTTAGAGTTCAAAGTTACTCTTTTTCTTCAACACTCAATACAAAGAAGACATGTCTGTTAGAAAGGAGAGGAGCTCCTCCAACGGCTCTCTCGGCACTACCCCTACTCCACCTCCTGTCTCTGGCCTACAGACAGAGGAAGGGACAACAACGAGACCAGCAGCTGGATCTACGGAAACACCCGCGGGCTTCGATCCAAGTATGATGGAGAAGTTTTTCTCCTTCATGTCCTTCTACGAGCAGCATCAGCAAGGAGTACCTGCGCAGTCAAACAACAGCAACAACAACAACAACGTGACGCCCATGAGCCTCGATGGCTCATCCTACGCACGCGGGAATCAACAACAACAACAACCTACCTTCGCTCCGTACGAGCCCCAGCGCGGATCCGTCAGCTTCATGCCGCAACCACAACCTGCACCGGGACAAGAAAAAGCACTGGACGCACTACAAGTTCAGTCGCAATTCGCGCATGTTCTAAAACTGCAAACGACGAAACCTTTCGACGGGAAGGATTTCTTCACCTGGTCGTTCGAATTCGAGCTGATGATGGAAGGAGCACAGATCCTTGGCTTCTTCGACGGGTCCCTGCCATATCCAACAAACGGCACGCAGTATGAGAAGCAGCAGTACACCTATCAATCGATGATGGCGTACACAATACTACTGAGAAACATCACCCCGACTCAACAGCTGAACATCAGGACTTACCGAGGTTACGGTAACTCCGCGGAGCTCGCGTATAACCACCTGAAGAACTTGTATCAAGCAACAGACAGCGTAAATCAAAGCCGGTTAATGGCGTAGCTGACAACAATCGAAATGAAACCAGGCGAGAAGGGTATGGCATATATCAGTCGCTGCCGCGAACTGCGCGACAAGCTTCTTCGATGTGGAGGATCGATTTCAGAAGACGCCTTCGTCACGGTAGTCATCGGTGGTCTTGGCCCCCACTGGCGCTCCACTCGCGCCATACTACGAGCACACAGGAGAATCTCCGAAGCAGCACTCTGCGTCGAAATCCATGCCGAGCAGCAGGACATGGACCTGCAAGAAGAACGACACAAGAAGAAAACGTTAGTACCAGAGTTCGCATTTCACACTCAGCGACGCTACAACAACAACAACAACCGGCAACAACAAGTGAAGACAGTACCTCTGTTCTGCCACATCTGCAAGACTTCAGGACATCCTCGTACGCACTGCCAGTCTCGTCAGCAATCAACAACACCACAGCGACAACTTCGACCTTCAAGCTCCCAAGTCACCTCAACGCAAGCAAATCCGACAACTTCAGTCCAAGCTTCAACGACTCCAACAGGGCAACCTGCACAAGGAGCAAGAAACATCGTCAACTGCATGGTGAAGATAATAGACTCCTGCACAACCGAGTCACCACCTCACTACTCACCAGAAGAACAACTCGACAACAGCACGCCTCGCCGCGAGTCACTTCAACCAAACCCGACGTACGCTGCCATCGCTCAAGGCGAACCGTCCGGACAAGACACTTGGTTTTTGGACAGTTGCTGCGGACAACACATGTGCTCCTCAGGACGCTTCGTTCAACGCGAACATCGACTTCAACGAGAGGTCGTCATCACAGTCGCCAACAACCAGAACCTGCGCACACGACGACAAGGAGTAGTACAACTTCAGTCAAGAGAGACAAATGTCATATTGCACATGTCAAAAGTGCTAATCGCGGAGGGACTCGGCTACAACTTACTGAGCGTCAGCCAGTTGATGGCGAAAGGCATCCACTTGGAAGCCGACAGCACCACCCAGGAGTTCAAGTTGTACCACGGGAAGGACGGTCTCTACATCGGAAAGGCGGTTTTGAAGAACAACGTCTTCGTCCTTGACTTCGTCCCAGACCTGGGCACTGCAGACAGCGATGCCATCGTTAACTTCGCCGAGTGGACACATCCCCCGGATCTCAACCCCGACTTTAGCCCGGAAGGCTTCTGGTATTCGCATACCATCCCTGAAGCAGAACGAGCACGCGCGTTAGCAACAATTCAACAATCGGCAGCAGCAGAAAAAACATCGGCAGCAGTAGAAACAACATCGACAGAAGCAGAAACAAAATCGGCAGCAGCAGAGACAACATCGGCAGCAGCAGAGACAACATCGGCAGCAGCAGAGACAGCATCGGCAGCAGCAGAAACATCATCGGCAGCAGCAGGACCAACGACACCAGTCTTCGTCGACGAAGCACCACCAACACCTGCACAGCAGCTGAACCCAACTCAACGAGAAGTCCACAGAAGCGCAAACTTCGTCACCAGCTTCTACTCCAACTCCGACGCGTATCAACGCTCACCCGGACATCGCGCCCCCGAAGACATCTGGCATGCACGCACAGGACATCCAAGCAACACCGTGTTAACCAATACAATACGAGCAGGAGTCCTAGACAAGGATTCGTTACTACTACCCGACAGCAGAGAACTTCAACGGGCACGAGGAACTTGCCTCATCTGGCCGAAGCCGACTTACCACATCGACCGTTTACTTCCCACCACAATCCGAGCGCACCCGCGTATGCACCACTCGAGAAGGTGTACAACGATATTCTCTTCAATCGAGAACCTGGACAAGTTACTTACAACTACACGATAACCTTTATCGATGCCGGCACTCGATACGTCCGGCACCGAAACCTACCCAGCCGCGACATGGCACTCGCAGCATTCGCCGCCTGGCTACCAGTAGCAGAGAGAGAGTCGGGAACACAGCTGAAAAGCTTCTAGTCAGACGGAGGAGGAGAATACACCTCTCAGCGATTCAAGCAGTACCTGGCGGAAAGGGGAATCAAGCAACTTCTCTCCCTTCCCTACGCCCATCAGCAACAAGTGTCAGAACTATATAGCTTATACTATTGTGTAGGCTATAGTGGGGTATCCCATAGGGGGTACAACCCAATTAGGGTTTCCTATTTGTACTCACTTCTTTCATAGTCATTCCATTCTCGTTCTCTCTTTCACATGGAATCAGAGCAGGTCCCCTACTAGGGACTGTTTCTTGGGCCCACCGAAGCGCGCCCCGAGGCGCGCGTCCTTTTTTTTTTTTTTTTTTTAGCGACCCGTCGTGTCGCCCTCCCTAGCGGCCTGTCGAGCCGCCCTACCTTGCGGCCCCGCCGCCCTATCGCGCGGCCTCGCCGCCCTAAGTCGCGGCCTGCCCGCCGCCCTACTTCGACGGCCCCGCCGCCCTACGTCGTGGCCCGCCGCCCTACTTCGACGGCCCGCCCGCCGCCCTACGTCGCGGCCCTGCCGCCCTACGTCCCGGCCCGCCCGCCGCCCTACTTCGACGGCCCGCCCGCCGCCCTACGTCGCGGCCCCGCCGCCCTACGTCCCGGCCCGCCCGCCGCCCTACTTCGAAGGCCCGCCCGCCGCCCTACGTCGCGGCCCTGCCGCCCTCAGCTACGCGGCCCCGCCGCCTTCTGCTACGCGGCCTTGCCGCCCTCTGCTACGCGGCCCCGCCGCCCCTCGATCGCGGCCCCGCCGCCCTCTGCTACGCGGCTCCGCCGCCCTCTGCTACGCGGCCCCGCCGCCCTCTGCTACGCGGCCCCGCCGCCCTCTCCTACGCGGCACCGCCGCCCTCTGCTCCGCGGCCCCGCCGAGCCGCCCAGCAGCAGCCGAGCCGCCGCCGAGCCGCCGCCGCCTGAGCCGCCACCCGGGCCGCCGCCGAGCCGCCGCCGCCTGCGCCGCCGAGCCGGAGCCGCCCGAGCCGCCGCCCAGCCGCCCAGCAGCAGCCGAGCCGCCGCCGAGCCGCCGCCGCCCGAGCCGCCGCTGAGCTGCGACCGAGCCGCCGCCCGAGCCGCCCGAACCGCCCGAGCCGCCCGAGCCGCCCGAGCCGCCCGAGCCGCCGTGCTGCTGTTCCTGAGCTGTGTTCTTCTGCTGCTGACCTACCCGACTCTCCCAGCCCGGTGAGACTTCCAGCTGCTGCCATGGCCACCCCCAATGTTCTTACTTTTGACGCTGAGGGGAGGGCCATTGACTTTGCCGTCTGGATTGAAGACCTGCAGCTGTACTTACTGTGTGATGCGATAGATGAGGTCTCTCTTTTTGACTTTGTCTCTGGCGCTGTTCCTGCCCCACCTGCTGATGCTGACTCTGCCGTTCGCTCCAAGTGGGCGACCCGCGATGCTGCTGCACGTCTTGCTGTGCGTCGCCACCTCCCTTCCTCTGAGCGTGCCCACTTTAGTCAGTGCAAGTCCGCTCAGGCCTTGTACGACGCTGTAGTTGCACGCTACTCCTCCCCTTCCTCCGCTACCCTTAGCCGCCTCATGCTACCGTTTCTCTTCCCTGACCTCGCTTCCTTTCCCACTGTCGCTGACCTCGTTACCCACCTCCGTGCTAGTGACACCCGCTACCGCGCTGCCCTTCCTGCTGAGTTCCGCGCTGCGAACCCTCCTCCCATGTACATCACCCTCTACTTTCTCGTCACCCGTCTCCCTGAGTCCCTTCGTGTCGTTAGGGACCAGTTTCTCTCTGTCTGTCCCACCACTCTCACTGTCGACCTCCTTGAGGAGTCCCTGCTAGCGGCTGAGAAGAGTATTGTCGCTGTAGGGGCCTCTCGGGGTGACCCTCGCACCCCCATCTTTGAGGGGTGTGGTCCTT